AGTCTTTCAGAATTCTAGAAAATATTCAAAGGTTCACAGCAACCAAGTAAACTCAGAATCAAGAAAAAGGTAACTTAAAAAAATAGGAAACTACCTCATACCAATTAGGAAGATTACTATCTATCAGAAAAACAGAAAAGTGTAGGCGGGAATAAGGAGTAATCAGAATCCTTGTGTACTGCTGGTGGGAATATAAAATAGTAGAGTAGGTGGGGAAAACAGTGTGGCAGTTCCTCAAAAAGTTAAAAAATTACCATATGATCCAGCAGTTCTACTTCTGGCTACACACTCAGTGAACTGAAAGCACGGTCTCAAAGAGATGCGTGTAGTCTCAAAGAGGCATCTGAACGATCATTTTAAAAGCAACATTCTTCACAATAGCTAAAATGCGGAAGCAATCCAAGTGTGCACTGATGAATAGATAAGCAAAGTATGGTGTATAAAATAATGGAATATTATTCAGCCTAAAAAAGGAAGGAAATTCGGACATATGTTACAAAGGCAGTGCCCGACCCCCTGGCTGTGGACCAGTATCGGTCCTTAGCCTGTTAGGAACTGGGCCACACGGCAGGAGGTGAGTGGAAAGTGAGTGAGCAAAGCTTCATCTGTATTTACAGCTGCTCCTCATTGCTCACATCACTGCCTGAGCTCCACCTCCTGCCATATCAATGGTGGCATTAGGCTCTGCATTATGGTCAGTTGTATAATTATTTCATTATATATTACAATGTAATAATAATAAAGTACACAATAAATGTAATGCACTTAAATCATCCCCAAACTATCCCCCTACTCCCCAGGCCCCATTCCTGGTCTATGGAAAAACTGTCTTCCATGAAACTGGTCCCTGGTGCCAAAAAGGTTGGGGAACACTGTATTATTAATACAACATAGATACACCTTGAGCACATTATTCTAACTGAAATAAGCCAGTCACAAAAAGGCAAATATTGCATGATTCCATTTAAATGAAATACTTAGAGTAGTCAAAATAATATAGACAGAAAATAGAATGAAGGTTGCCCGGAGTTGCAGGGATGGAGGTGAGGGGTTATTATTTAATGGATATAGAGTATTTTTTACAAAATAAAAAAAATTCTGGAGATGGAAGGTGGTGATGGTTGTACAACATTATAAATGTATTTAATACCATGGAACTGTATACTTAATGGTTAAGATGGTAGAATTTTATGTTATATGTATATTATTTTACTACAATAAAAAAAATTGGGAAAAAAAGGAAATATTTTTGGTGTTTTAAGTAGTTCTTGCTTCACCCGCCTTTCCCTGGCTTAGAAAATTCACAAATTTGTGGAAGTTAACACACTTCTAAACAACCAATAAATCAAAGAACAAATCAAAGGAAAATTAGAAAATAATTTGAGACAAAATGAAAATGAAAACACAACATACCAAAATTTAGGGAATGCTGAGAAAGCAGAGCTCAGAGGCTAATTTCATAGCTGCAGATGCCTATATTAAAAAAAGATTGCAAATCAACAAACCAATATTCCATATTAAGAAAACAGAAAGAGATTTAAAAAAGAAAAAAAGAAAAGGGGAATAGTAAACTAACCCCAAAGCAAGAAGATGGAGGGAAAAAATAAAGATCAAAACATAGATTAACAAAATAGAGAATTAAAAAAACAGAGAAAATCAACAAAACCCAAAGTCACTTCTTTGAAAACATCAACAAAAACTGACCAACATTTAGCTAGACTTACTAGGACAATAAGAAAGAAGATAAAAATAACTAAAATCAGAAACGAAAGTGGGACTATAACCACTTACTTTACAGCAGTAAAAGGATTATAAGAGAATACTATGAACAATTATACACCAACAAATTAGATCAGGGTCCTCAAACTTTTTAAACAGGGGGCCAGTTCACTGTCCCTCAGACCGTTGGAGGGCTGGACTATAGTTTTAAAAAAACTATGAACAAGTTCCTATGCACACTGCACATATTTTTATTTTGAAGAGAAAAAAACAAACAGGCAAAAACACCTGCATGTGGCCCGTGGGCCATAGTTTGAGAATGCCTGAATTAGATAAACTAGATGAAATGGACAAGTTCCTAGAAAGACACAAAATTATCAAAACGGACTTAAGAAACATAAAATTTGAACAGACCTATACTATAATAAGCAAAGAAAGTAAAGCAATAATCAGAAATCTCCCCAAAAAGAAAAGTCCAGTACCAGATGGCTTCAATGGCAAAATCTACCAGTAATTTCTATACAAATTAACACCAATCCTTCTTAACATTTTCCAAAAAACAGGAAAAAAATATTTCCAAACGTTTTCTGAAGCCAGCATTACCTGATACCAAAGCCAGACTAACACATCATAAAAAAAAACTACATATCAATATTATTTATGAACACAGATGCCAAAATTCTCAACAAAAAGCAAATCAACCCCAAAAGCATATTCAAAGGTTATATATCATGACTAAATATGATTTATCCCAGAAATGGAAGGATATGTCAACATATAAAAATCAATGATACCACATGAATTTAATCCATTAAAAAACTTAGAGCTAATATATTTAGCAAAGTTGCAGGATAACTCAACATACCAAATCAGTTGTATTTCTATATACTAGCAATGAACAATCTGAAAAGGAAATAACACAGTTCCATTTATTCCATGTATAATAACTTCCAAAAGAATATAATTTAGGAATAAACTAAGAAGGTAAAAGACTTATACACAGAAAACTACACAACATTGCTGAAATTAGTTAAATAAGACCCATGTAATATACTAAATTGTATCCCCCCTCTAATTCATATACTGAAGCCCCAAACCCCAATGTGACTATATTTGGAGATAGGGCCCTTATAAAAGGTAATCTAGGTTAAAATGAGGTCATAAGAGTGGGGTCTTGTTCCAACAGAAATGGTGTCTTTATAAGAAGAGAGAGACTCCAGAACTCTCTCTCCACACATGCGGAGCAAAGGCCACGTGAGGACACAGCAAGAAGGTGGCTGTCCGCAAGCAGGAAAAGAGGCCTCAGCAGAAATCACATTTGCTGGCAACTTGATCATGGACATCTAGACCACAGAACCATGAGAAAATAAATTTCTGTTGTTTAAGCCACCCCATCTGTGGTATTTTGTTATGGCAGTCTAAGCAGACTAATACAACCTAAGAAAATGGAAAGACATCCTGCATTTATGAACTGGAATACTAAATACTGTTAAGATGGCAAAACTTCCAAAGTACTCTACAGATTTAATGAGATCCTTATTAGAATTCCAATGGCCTTTTCTATAGAAATAGAAAAGCTGACCTTCCAATTCATACAGAATCACAAGGGGCCCAAAGTAGTCAAAACAGTACTGAAAAAGAACAAGGTTGGAGAATTCATACTTCCCCACTTTAACTTACTACAAAGCTATAGTGATCAAAATAATGTAGTACTTTGTATATGGACAAACACACCGATCAATGAACTAGAACTAAGAGTCCAGAAAGAAAACCATACGTCTATGGCCAACTGATTTTCCACAAGGGTGTCAAAACCATTCAATGGGGAAAGCACAGTTTCTTTAACAAATAATGCCAGGACCATTGGATTTCTACATAAAAAAGAATGAAGTTGGACCCTTACCTCAAACCATATTAAAAAATTAACTCAAAATTAATCAAAGACCTATATGTAACAGCTGAAACTATGAAACTCTTAGAAGAAAACATAAGGCTAAATCTTCATGACCTGGGATTTGACAATGGATTCTTACATATGACACCAAAAGCATAAGCAACAAAAGGAAAACATTGATTGATAAACTACAGTTCATGAAAATTAAAAACTTCTGTGCATTAAAGGATATCATCAACAAAATGAAAAGACAAGCTACAGTAAAGGAGAACATATTTACAAATCATATATCTGATAAGGGTATAGTACATGGAATATATAAAGAAATCCTATACCTTCAACAAAAAAAAAGACAACACAATGAAAAAATGGACAAAAGGCTTGACTACACATTTCTCCAAAAAAGGTATACATATGGCCAACAAGCACATGAAAAGATTCTCAATATCATTAGTCATCAGGGAAATGCAAATCAAAATCACAAGCAAATACCACTTCATAACCACTAGGATGGCTAGAATCAAAGTCCAATAATATGTATCGACGAGGATGCAGAGAAACTGGAACTTCATAAGCTGTACTAATGAGAATGTAAAATGGTTCGGCCACTGTGTAAAACAATTTGATGGTCCCTCAAAAAGTTAACTATAGAGTTACCATATGACCCAGCAATTCCACTGCAAGGTGTATACCCAGAAGGAGTGAAAACAGATATTCGAACACGAATTTTCACAGCAGAACTATCCATAATAGCTGAAAGGTAGAAATAATCCAAATGCCCTATCAATGGATAAATGGACAAACAAAATGTAGTATATAATATTATTCAGTCATAAAAAGGAGAACTATTGATACATGCTACAATATGGATAAACCTTGAAAACATGCTAAGTAAAAGAAGCCAGACACAAAAGGTCACATATTGTACAATTCTCTTTTTAAAACTTAATTATTATTACTTTTTAAGAATATAGCTCAAGTGTCTATCTTGAATAGGTAGCAGGAAACATACAAAGCTGTCCACCAAGTTCTGAGACAAAAGGCCCATTTCAACCTCTTAGCCTCTCCTAGCAAACTGGTACCTGAGGCAAAGAGCTGGGGCTCCCAGTGGCTCTTGTCCAGCTAGTCATGAGATCCCATTTATAATGAAATATCCAGAACAGGCAAATCAATAGACAGAGAAGGTAGATTAGTATGATGTCAGGGTCTAGGGAATGTGGGGTTTTCTTTTGGGGTGATGAAAGTATTTTAGAATTTAATAGAGGCAGTAGTTGTACAACCCTGTGAATGTACTAAACACCACTGAATTGTACATTTTAAAATGGTTAATTTTGTTACATGAATTTCATCTCAATGATAAGAATACAATGATGGTTTTTCTACTAACCCGATGAATAATCCCAGCAGAGTGAAGGTGCTTGATTCCACATAGCATCTGATAGAGAAGGTAGGACATTCTCTCATGATCCAGCTCCATCTGAATCACTTGGCAAAGATTTGCATCCATGAGCTCCATGACTATGTAACTTCATGCATAAAAAAAGACGACAGCTAAAGTGTACAGCAACAATCTAAGAAAAACGTACTAGTATAGCAAACTTTTAATTACCACACTTACACATCTTGAAATTCTTCTAGGGATTTCTGTGGTGTGAAAACATTCAAAAGGCCAATTATCTGTAGTAAAAAGCAAACAGAAAAATTAGAAACTGCTTCCTAATCACTTGGGAACTACAGATACATGGGTTAAAAACAAAATCCACCATTAGTTTAAAATCTTTCAAATTTTATGTTCTAAGCTCAAGTAAATAAATATATTTATATTTAATATATATTTAGGAGTTATCCACATAGAGATGTTTGGACAAAAAGACATATAAAGACATAAGATATATAAAAGATATATTAAATATCTTTTAGTGTATATACTAAAACTTTAATATATAGGAGCTGGAGGGAAGAGGGAAGGGAGGACTAAAAAGGTGGGGACATAGAGGACCTTTAACCCATTCCATTTGTGAACAGTCAACCATCAAGCACTTACAGTATAAAAACCTCTACATAATTTGTCAGAAAATTTTAAATACCTACTACCAGCTCCTATCCAATTCAATAGCTCTATATAATCTTAGCCCTTTTCCTTCCCTTGTTTTTCATAATACTGCACTTGCCTGGATTTTTTCATTCCCAGTCTATCTCACTGGCTCATCCACAGGCATACCCTCTTTCCCATCACTGCCTTTCATCCTTCCTTTTCTCTATCTGGACCCTTTCCCTGACTGGTATTAACTATTTCTTTTTCTCCAAACATCTTTATGTGGATAACTCCTAAATATATTTTAATATTAAAAGTCTTTGCTTAGCTGATGCATTTCAGATACACACTGCCATTTTACATGGACATCTAACAAATACAAAATTGAATTCATTTTCATTCCTACCAAACTCCCTTACTTTTCCAATATGCCCTCTCTTTTTTGCAAAAGAGGCTCAAGAGTGATTTTTGACTCCTTTTTTCGTATCTGCACCATAATAAATATTCAAAAGAATGCTGTCCATTCTACTATCAGTCTGAATTTCAACCTCATTTTTTCCATTCTCTCTACTGCTACTATATAGGGTGAGGATTCTAACGTCTCATACAGACTGTTCATGCTACAATTACTTCTAACACTAGTGTTACAGACTGAATGTTGTGTCTACCCAAAATTTCTAGGTTGAAGCTCTAGCCTATAATGTTATAGTAATTGAAGATGGGGCCTTTGGGAGGTAATTAGGATTAGATGAGGTCATGAGGGTAGGGCCCTCATAATGCGATTAGTGGCCTTATAGGAGGAAGAGTGCTCACATACTCTCTTTCTTTCGTACTCTCTCCCTGTCTCTCTCTCCCCTTCCTTCTCCCACTCTGCTCCCATCTCTCTCTCTCTCTCCCTCCCTCCCTCCCTCCTCCCATGTGCATGCACTGAAGTTGACCACTGAAGTTGACCACAGGCAGGTTAGGAGTGGGCCCTCACCAAGAATTGAATTGGCCTGCATCTTGATCTTAGACTTCCTAGGCTTCAAAACTGTGAGAAACAAATCTCTGTTGTTTAAGTCACCCAGTCTACAGTATTTTGTTATAGTAGCCTGAGCTGACTAAGACAATTAGGGACCCTAACAATGGTTTTTCTGAAAATCCAGCTACCATTTTACTGCCTAAAATATGGTAAAAAGAAAGATCTGATCTTATTACTTACCTCTTCAAAAACTTAAAACCAACAAATAAATTCCAAAATGCCCTAGCAGTATATTCATATCCCTCTATGTAGCACATTGACTGATTTTATCTCCTGCTAAGTCCTCTATTAAACATCATGCTTTAGCCATACTAAATGGCTCTCGATGCCTTTAAACATACTACTCCCTATGCTTTTCATTTACCTACTAAACTTAATTATCTTCAAGAGGGACCTCTATTTGTACAGTCTTACAACTCTTAGTCCTTGACAGAGTTGATTTCTCTCTACTTTGTCCCCAGTTATCTTCTAATGCTATTATGGCATTCAACATAGTGTAGTTTTAGTCTCGTTTTCACAACAACCTTATTCCTACTACAAAATCCTTATTAGAAAGAACTATGTTTTTTTCACTTTTATAGTCCAGTACATAGCAAGGTACCCAATACACATTTTAAAATGTTTGCTGGCAATTGTACTTAGGGATGGGAATGTTTTTCTGGACATAAACATGAGTGCAGAATCTATGTTATTCCTGTAAGAATCAAGCCTTGCTTATAGAAGGCATTCAAATATTTTAGTGAATAAATTCAGAAAAATGATATTCAGACCAGAAAAGATAAAAAAAATTTATTTAAGATAGGGTAAGTAACAACAATAAAATTGCTTTAAATAAATTCAAGTCTCCCAACCAGATGTAATGCACATGTGGAGAGCTGGACAAGTAGTAAAACTATTCTCATTAGTATCTGGGAAATCCCAGAGTAGAAGAGAGTGTTTAAGATGAAAGGCATCTAGAGACAGAAAGATTAGCAGTTGTTTAGAGCTAAGGGAGGTAGGAGGTAGGGGAATGACAGCTAAAGGATATAGGATTTCCTTTTGAGGTGATAAAAATGTTCTAAAACTGTGATAATGGTCCCACATATCTGTGACTATTCTAAAAATCACTAAATTATATACTCTAAATGGGTGAATTGTACGGTATGTGAATTTTATCTCAATAAAGCTATTATAAAAAAAGATTAAAGCAGACAGCTACCCTTTTTCCAAAAAGGGGAATAAAAGAAATAATATAAATTATAGACTAAACAGCCAAGCAAAAGTCAAGTACTGTGATTAGCGGGTAGGATATGACTGCTTGGAAAGAAGTAACAATTACCAGGAACAGGTTAAAATTCATTGAGAAACATTGTTTCCTTCTGTCAGAGAAACGCAACCAGATATAGTATATGAAGATTTCAAAAAGGCATTTTTGACAATGTCTCTAATGACAACATCCATGTGAATGACATGATGGACTGGGGAGGGCTGAATAATTGTGACAGTTAGACATGTAGTTTTTACAATATACACAAAGACTGCTGATGAATCAATCCATCTATTATGAAGACGTTCTGAGAAAAACTGGAAAGTGAAGCCAACAAATGAAAAATTAGAACAAAGAAGAAAAGAGCAATCTCTAACAGTTTAGGGAGAATAAACAAATTTCACCTTTGAAATTTAATAGGGAGAAATAGAATGCACCATGCTTAACTCTTCAAAACCAAAAGAAAAAAAAAAGCTGGGCAAGATGTGGCCTGTTAACAGGCCTGTAACAAAGAAGAACTTGCTTAGACAGTAAGAGTCACATGGTGACATGATTTCCAAAGAGGGTCATAACGTGCACAAGTTAAGAGGAGATGACATGCCTCAGCTCCTCTCAGAGGATTCAATCAGACATGCAGTACTGTGTGCTAGGTGATTTTTCAAAGTACGTTCAGAGATAATTGACCAAGTTGAAACAGAAAGTCAAAACCATCTATGAAAAAAGTGGGAAAAACCAGAGATGTTTAGACCAATGAAGAGATGATCTGTACAGAGGATAAAACTGTTTAACATGGCAATACAATATACAAACATCCATCCATCCATCCTAGAGTGGAAAAATTCAGTTAACCATTCTTGGTTTTCCCATATTTAGCCTTACATTCATTCACTGAACAAATACGTTCTAAGCACCTGCTGTGTCCAGCACTCTTCTGGGTGCTGAGGGCACTGCCTGGATGAATCTGTGTCACTCCTGCTACAGGGCTAATCACAAACAACGTGCTTCTCCATGTTCCATTTAGTTGATGGAACCACCTTTCTTTGCAGTCACCCAGGCTTGGGAGGTAGGAATAACTGGAATCCTTCCCAAAGAAAAAACTAAGGAATGTTACCACAGCCATAGTCATGAAACTCAATTCACAGGCTACAAAACTACAAGGATCACCAGCAAAACTGTGATGAGCAACATGTCTACCTCCCACCTGGAACAAGAATAGCTACCACAATTTCTTCCCTGTCACTGACTTACTTTAACCTCTGTCTTTGGGCCTTTTTTTTATGCCATTCTTCCTCTCCGGAAGGCCCTCATCCTTCAATCCCATCTAGAGTCAGCCTAGATCTAAGCCTTCCAAAAGTCTTCCCTGTTCAAAGCTCACACAAATCATCTCTCTTTTGAGATCTCAGCACTTACGGTTCACCCACCATCATTTGATAAATAGCTACTGCTCTGTGGTGTTTGTTATTGAACTCTTTATAAACTTGTTTTGTCTTCAAAACAACACTATAAGCTCCCCTAGTAAAAGGAGCCTAATACTTAACTTCCATGAATTTCTTCCCTTAGTGATGAACCTAATAACTCCAGAAGCTTGCACATACTTAGCTCTTAAAATGTGGTAATCTGTATTATCTGCCATCAAAATACTGAACTCATTATATTTTTTAAACTCTTTTGGACAAATACCACAAAATGTCTCCAGTCAGATGCTTTCAGTTTAGAACTACATAAAGCTATCCCTTACACCACTCACTCCTAGTCTATTTCCTCTCAGCTTAGAGAAATCATTCCATTAAGATAATCATAAAAGTGCCAATAAACTTAATGTAAGTTAAAAAAATATATAACTGTTTATTCTCAAAATGAATAAAAGTTGTATGTTTAAGTCTTTATAATCATTAGAAAATGGAATTAAAAATGTTTTCCTAATTCCCTTTAACCATTTTCACAAAATATCTACTAAACTGCTTTATCTTCAACATAAAATGATCAGTGAATATTGCCATCACTCAAAGAGGTGGGAGTGGGGTATGGAGAAGTGATTTGAATTATATATTCAATATGATTAAAGTTCCAGTGTCAAAGCACACTGGGAACAATTTCATACCTGTGCTAAGGCTACAGTTTTCTGAAATATCAGCCTGACAGAGAACAAAAAGCAGAAGATGAGGTCATGCCTGAATAAAGTTCTTCTACAACACTTCTCTCTTCAAAACTCCTTTTGTAAATTAAAATGTCAGGTAATTACACAATCTAAATTTCAAAAGCCATTTTTCTCTTGATATAATTTAATAAAGTTGAGAAAAAATTCATCCTGTGTATACAGACATACACACACACACACATACATATACATACACACATATACATATATATATCCCTTTTAAATATTTCAATACAGAAAAACAATTTAAATCCCCTAATATTTAAAAAGTCTTTGATATTCATATACTTATGACTAAACCTTGATTTCATCTATAATTAAGAAATCTAAAATATTCACTTACATTTTTGTGATTAACACATTTCATAAGTACTAGCTCTCTGTAGGCCCGCTTAGCATGGGTTTGATTCTGAAATGGCCGGCTTAGTTTCTTGATTGCAACATTTCTCTCAAGAATGGCATCATAAGCAGCACTGTAATAAGAAATTCAAAAACAAAAACTTAAGCCAAAATCTTTAAAACTGAATTCATGAAAAACTCATGCAGATTCCTTTCTCCAAAGACAAATACAACTGAATCATTTTCCAGTCTATGATGCTCAACATGTGCCTTCTATACCTATTACAGTGTATTCCAACAATGTAAAACAACCATATTTCTTAAAATGCTCATGAATCCAAAGAGACAATGGATTGTGATGATAGAGACCCTGCCTGTTCATTGTGGTGCCTTGAAGATCCACCTAGCAACAGTGGGCATTCAATGCAAAACACATTACTTCCTTTGGACACAACACAACACATACAGAAGAGGAAAGTACATACAGAGGTATGTATACAAAAGATTATTTTATAATTTTAAAAAAGCCTTTAAATTTTTTTTTTCGGAGGAGAAACTAAAAATCAAAATGTTTATAAATATAAATGCTAGATATCAGCACATCAGAAGCTGCTTCGTAACAGGCACATACATCATACTCATTACTCTTCATATTTTCCTCTACCCTATGACACTGACCATATAACACAGGCCAGAGAAACTGAAGCACAAATAAGGTGAAGCATGCATAAGGTGAAGTGTCTTTAAATTACAGAATTTTATTATTAAAAGACCTTAAAAATCACTTGGACTCACCACTACCTAATATAGGGCCAGCAGTTTAATTATTTTCCCAAGGTTAGTGAGAAAGTTAAAAGCAAAGATGAGACTAGAAGACTAAGACGTGAGGCCATGCTTTTTATATCAGACCACCAAACATACTAAAAAGACTATCCCTGTTTATGTAATATTTGGAAAGATAGCTCACTACTGATTAATATTATTTTCTTACATGACTGAAAACTTGAATTTATTTTGTAGCTATATCATGATATCATTATATCAAATATTGTGTAGCTGTAATAGGTATCAAGAAATTGGTACTGCATAAATGGATACATCTACACATTCTATATATACCATAACTACTGCCTATATACATATATACATACCAAAACATATATATTATAATCCTTGCTTTAAAAATACCGTATTTACAAACATGTCTTGCCCAAATTAAAAAACATTTTAGAGAGCATACAAAATTATTAGAAGTTTTGACTATATTCAACAGGTTTTATTTTTAACCATTAAATTCATTTCTATTAACTTTTTATCTGCCAAATCAAGTTTGCATATTTCAAACTCAAAGTTCAAAAGTATCTGAGAAGATTCCACTATTTTGCATCCAAGGAAATTTATAATTCTTAAATGTGCACAAATCAAAAAACTCTGGGGATTTAGAGGCCTCAATCCAGACCCAATAAACCTTACTATCTATGGTTGGGGCCGAAAATAATGCATTTTTTTAAAAATTAAGCTCTTCAGTTGGTTCTGATAGTAATGCAACAACTTTTAAAATATTTGTGCTTAATATTTGTCTATTTCATAATAATATTTTATGGAAATTATTACTTTAAGCAAAATTTGAAGATATTTATTCCTTAGGATAAGGGTTTGTTAAGAGGACTGGGTCCCTCCTGAAGTTTTTTTTTTTAAATTCTGGTATATGAATTTCAAAGTGCACTTATCTGAGGATAAGTGAAGGTACAGAATCATTAATATATTTTTAAACACTATTAGGTAGTTCATAAAATATAAAAATATAATCCTCACAATAACTCTATAAAGTATGTGAGAAAACACGTTTAGAACTGTTAATTTGCTAAGAGTCACAAAGTTAGCAAATCATGGAGCTAGAATCTGAACTAAGAGGTGGCTTTCAGAATCCTAATATTGACTATATGATATTAGTTTCTTTAAATTTAATTTGAGGTTGGTTAAACAGTTAAATGTGGCTGGTTACAATGATAATTAGCCAGCCAATATGGTTTATAAAATGACCCCAACTTCCATAATTTTTGATATTATAAATTACTTTAATACAAAAAAGAGAATAAATGTCAGTGTCTCTACTACACAAATTTGCTAGATCTTAGTATTTTACCACAACTGCTCTGAATTTTTTAAAAAGAAATATTATAGGTAAAGCTTCCTTCCTTTTTTCTGTTCTCAGATGTAAGCAATATCCTAAGTTTGGTGTTTATGCATAGTTTATCTTTTCTACATATACATACATCCATAAACATATGATATTGTTTTACATGCTTTAAACTATATATAAATGGTACAATAATGTACATATATTCTGCACCTTGCTTTTAAACTCAACACTACATTTATGAGATTATCCTTGTTGATACATATAACTCCAGTTCATTTTAAATCTTGTATAGTATTTCACTGTATGACTATATCACAATTTTTATTCTCCTGTTGATAAATTTCATGTTGCTTCCAATTTTTGCTATTATAAATAGTGCTGCAAAGAACATTCCTTATGCATGTCTCTTTTTGCACATGTACAAAGTTTTCTAGAACCTAGGAGAAATGCTAGATCATAAACATTTATGACGTATGTTTTATTTTGACTAGATTCTGAAATAAATTTGGTTCAAGAAGAGGTAATAGAGACATAATTATATATGGTGAGGTTTATAATTCCCCCAACCAGTAGCTGCTTATGCTAAGTTAGTGAGCTAGAATCATTAGCAGAACTATCCCAAGGAGTGTTTTGCATTTTAGTTTATAAGGAATTATGTTGATCTACAAAGCCCAAGCCCTTTGTAGAAATTAGCCTGTAAATCAATCTTAAAGATACATATGAGTTTGAAACATACACAGTGAAAGGATATTAGCTGACTTCATTCCCCAGCATAAAATAAGATTTCTGAAATTCCAGAGTTTCATTATAATGTGAAAGTGATGATTAAGTGAAGCTTCTTAGTTATGGGAATAGATGCATACATGGAATTAACAAGTATGCCATTAATTTGTTCTGATGCAGATATCTGTCCATATGCGGCTTATGAGCAATTTATTTAAATCATAGCTTATAAGATGGCAGTGTTGGTTTATAAAGTTATATTTTATGAATAATACAGGTTGAGCATCCCAAATCCAAGAATCTGGAAGGCTCCAAAATTCAAAACATTTTGAGTGCCAACACGAAACTCAAGGAAACTCAAATCTGACCATTTCAGATTTTGGATTTCAGATTTCAAATTTGGGATGCTCAACAAATGCAAGTATTCCAAAATTTGAAAAAATATCCAAATCTGAAACACTTCTGTTCCCAAGCATTTCATATAAGGGATACTAAATCTGTAATATAAAAGACCATTCATCCCCAAAGAAAACAATTTACCATGTTATAGTTTTCATTTAATTTTATAGTTTTAAATTTAGTCTTTTGAGGCAAGTTAAATATTTGTCAAGGTATCTATATTACAATGGAAGAAAAGGTAGTAGTTAATGATCCTTTGCCTAATTTTTGGAAGTAAAAACTTACCATACTATTCCTTGGGCTCCTGAGCCTATCGGTTTTAAATTCTGATATCGTTTCAGGACTGTGAATGTAGAATCTCCAATCTCTACACTATAAAAATTGTTGTCACGCTTGCTTCTGCTCATGATGGCAAGCAATTAATTTAATGGCTTCATCCAAAAATTCACCAAGAAGCTGCAAAATGGAACAAAATGTAATATTAACAAAACGAACTTGTTTAATCTTAAAGTTAGTCTTTACTCACTGCTTACGGATAGTAACACAGAGTGCAAGATCATGTTAAAAGAGCCCCTTCAATTCAAAAACAGTTAACGGTCTCATTTAGTGTCAAGTGGAAGGAATAACAAATGTTAGTAAATTGGTTAACACCCATCACCCCTGCCTGACAAATACGGGGCATCACGGTGCTTTCACCCTAACCGATTCCTTGGCCCCCAACAGCAACATCCTGGAGTAATGCATGTGCTGAGCCTGTATGGTTGAAAGGATATGAAGCTGGGTAGAAAATATAAGATCAAGAAGAGAGAAAGAAACATTTAGTATATTAGGATATAAAATAAAACAATACTGTTCTAACCTATCCGGGGCATCAGAAGTATGACCTAAGCTCTGACCACAGTTTTTTTATTATATGCAGGATTAAAAGTCAAGGCAGTCTTTTCCTACCCATTTGTGTAGCGGTTATGGACAAACCTATTACCCATCCTTACTAAATGAAAGTAGTCTATTCTAAAATGCATGCAAGATAGTTCTAACCTACTCCCCATCTCCCAATAAACCATGAAGATAGTTAGGTCTAAAGAATTACTTTTTTGTCATAAGACAATGCTAAGGAAAAAAATAATTCCTGATATGATTTACCACCGAATATTTGTTTTTATATTTAAAAACATTCTAGGCACTGTACTATTTTCTGGGGCCAGATAACCAACTCTGGTAAGGAGGTGGATTCCAGTAGAATAGATGGAAGCCACCGGAGGGTGGAGAGCAAGAGCATGCTTTGGCCCGGTCCCTGGCTACTGTGTGGAGATGGTACTACAGGAGGAAGCGGGAGCTAGAGTGGAGCAGGAAAACTAGAGAGGCTATTATAATAATCCAGACAAAAGAGACAAAATAAATGAAGATTCTTAAGTTTAAAGTGTTAAAAATAGGCAAACAAAAACTAAACAAAAATGTCCAAGCAGTATTAGCTTTAAAACTGAGGATAAATAAACTAGAAACAAACAGGGAATTACATTTGAGTAAATTTTTAAAAGCTTCAGAGAAACATTTCCAAAATCACTAACTGGACTAGTCATGTAATATTTCAGAGAAGACTGTCTGAAATGACAAGCCTCATAAATTCTGCGTCAGTGGACACACCACAGATTTAAAGAAAAGTATTTTGGTAATGATTTAAACACTCAGCTATGCACATAGAATGATAGAATATGAGTAGAGTCATCCTACTCAATCTCCTACCTTACCTTGAATTCCCTCTTGCTGACTAAAGTAGGGAAATAATGAAGACGAGAAGTGAAAAGAGGAAAGTGTTGGTTATCAGGCTCTTCGTTAAATATTCTACACCTTTATTCTGGAAACTGGGTCTGTCCAGGGCATGGAGACAGTAATAGTGATCTCTGATAATCTGCAAGTATGATCAGAGGTTGATACCAAGTCGATGGTGTTTTTACCTCCTGGAAGGTAAAAACCCAAGCATTTAAACTGCCCGCAGATCACAGTTCCTAAGCTTACTTGGAAGAGAGGTATTCCTCTTTTAAAAAGATTAAGATCAGAAGAGAAAGGAGTACTTTAGTGTGACTTACAGGAGTTGACTTCCTATTACCAAAATAAGTAACAAAAGGCTGTATTTGACAGTTTTTCCACTTGCTGGAAATTAAAAACAATGCTGAGTAGATCCAGGAACATATATGCGCTAAAGAAGGTTTCCCTTTCTGCTAAAATAATAATGGCAAGCAAAGGCTGCTTTCTATTCTCAGGACAGGGTGGCCCAGCAACAAGAGTGGGCTCCATAGTACCCACATGAAGCCTGAACAAAGCCATGGAAGGCAGTTGAACATGGAGTAACCATAACTCCCCAGGAGCAGGGCAGTGGCAGGCAGCTAGGCTCCAAGGTTAAGTAGGCAGCCCCAGCTGGTGATACCCCTGGCAGCAGCCACAGCTGCCACTCCCAAGAAGAGGAGACAGAGAACTCTCTACTCTCTTATACTCAGTTGTACAAATTGGAGAACCTGATTCAAGCACTACACTATGTACTATGAACATGATGGTAATCAGCATCTGGCTACACATAGAGTTGCAGTTAAGATAGAAAAAGAGACCTTAAGCTGATGAGTACCTGCCTGATTGTAACTTAAGGTGTGATAAGGGCAATGAAGGAAAGGAGACACAGGTCTGGGCTCAGGAACAGATTCCCCTGACGTGATGTTTAAGCAAGATCTGAAAGTTGAATGGGAGTTAACCCAGCAGGGAAAGAAGAGAGCTTTCTAGGCAGAAGAAAAAAGCACATGTAAAGACCCTAAAAATTTTACCAATTTTGATTGTACAATTTGATGTTTTAATAAATGTATATAATTCTTTAACCACCACCAAAATCACGATATAGAACATTTCTATAACCTCAAAATGTTCCCTGTATGGTCAATCTCCACCTTCTACCTCTTGTTCCCACCCCTATCAACCACTGAACTGCTCGGCTGTGCCTCTTCTAGATCTTCACCTAAATGAAATCATACAGCACATAATTTTCGTTTGGCTTCTTGCACTTGCCCTAATACTTCTGAGATTCATCCATGCTGCAGTCCATTTTACTGTATACAGAATGGTATTCCATTATGTGGATGCACCACTTGGACATCTGAATTGTTTCCAGTTGTGGGATTATAAATGATGCTAGCCTGAACACTTGCACATATGTTTTCTTCCATTCATCTTGGGCAAAAACCTAGGAGTGGTATTGCTGAGTCCTATGTTTAACTTTGTAAAAACTGCCAAACTGTCTTCTAAAGTGGCCATACCATTTTTCATTTGCACAGCAATATGTGAGACTTCTAGTTGCCCCACATTCTTCTGACTGTCATTTAATTTTATCTATACTAGTGGGTGTATACTGCATTGTGGTTTACATTTGCATTTCCTAATAACTAATGAATGTTGAGCACCTTTTCATCAGCTTATATGCCATTCATGTATCTTTTTCTTGGGGTGGGGTTTGAAGTAGCTATTTAATTCTTTTGCCCATTATAAAAACATGATTGTCTTATTGAGTTGAAATACTTATTTACTTATTCTGATGTAAATTATCAGATATTTTGCAAGTATTTTCCCCCAGTCTGTGGCTTGTCTTCCCATTTTTTAAACGTGTTTTATTAAAAAAACTTTTTATTTTGCAATATTTATTTATTTATTTATGAGGCAGAGTCTCACTCTGTGGCCCGAGCTAGAGTGCCGTGGCATCAGCCTAGCTCACAGCAACCTCAAACTTGGCAATCCTCCTGCCTCAGCCTCCCGAGTAGCTGGGACTACAGGCATGTGCCACCATGCCCAGCTAATTTTTTCCATATATTTTTAGTTGGCCAATTAATTTCTTTCTATTTTTAGTAGAGATGGGGTCTCACTCTTACTCAGGCTGGTTTCCAACTCCTGACCTTGAGCAATCCTCCTGTTTTGGCCTCCCAGAGTGCTAGGATTACAGGCGTGAGCCACCACACCCAGCCTGCATTAATTTTATACTTACATAGAGGTTGCAAAAATACTGCAGTTTCTGTGTACCCTTCACCCAGCAACAGCATTTGACACACCACAGTACAATTTTCAAAATGAGGAAACTGACATTGGTACAATACTATTAACCAAACCATAAACTTTAGTCAGATTTTATCTGTTTTTACACACGCTGACATCATGTATACACAGTACTATGTAAATTTATCACATACACGTTAGTGTAAATTCTACCACAATCAGAATACTGAACTATCTCATCACTCCAAAGAAATGCCTTCATGCTATCCCTTTATAATCACATCCTTCCCTAACCGTACCCCCAGCAACTACTGATCTTTCTCCATCACTATAATTTTTTAATTTAAAGAATGTTATATATATATGCAATCACAATATGTAATCTTTTAAAACTGGCTTTTTTCACTCCCTATAATGCCCTTAAGAGCCTCCCAGTTGTTGTTATATCTTTTTTCATTCTTTTTCTTATTATTATTCCATTATATGAATATAAAACAGCTTATTATCCATTCACCTGTTGATCTAGCTATTACAAATAAAGCTGCTATGTGCCTTTGTGCATAGGTTTCTGTGTTAATGTAAGTTTTCATTTCTTTAGGATAAATACCCAGGAGTAAGATGCATGGTACTTTGTAAGAAACTGGCAAACTGTTTTCCAGAGTGGCTGTATCATTTTGCACTCGTACCAGCAATATATGAAAGATCCACTTCTTCCACATTCTCATCAGTGTTTATTTTAGCCATTCTAGTACATATGTAGTATCTCATCATGGCTTTAAATTCGCATTTCTGTAATAGTTAATGATACTGATCATCTTTTCACATGCTTATCTGCCATCTGTATATGCTCTTTGGTGAAGTGTCTGTTCATTGTTTTGGCCATTTTCTAATTGGATTGTTTGATTTCCTACTGCTGAGTTGAGAGACTTCTTTATATATTCTAGATAATACATTCTTTATCAGACATGTGATTTGCAAATATTTTCTCCTAGTCTGTGGTTTGTCTCTTTACACTCTTAACAATGTCTTTCATAGAGTAAAAGTTTTAATTTTAATTTTGATGAAGTCCCAGTTTTCATTTTTTTCTCCTTTAGAGACTGCTTTTGGTATTTAAAAAAAAAGGTTTTTTCCTATGTTTTCTTATAAAAGTTTTATGGGTTTACATTTTACATTTAGATCTATAACAATTGTTGTATAAGGTATGACTTTTAGGTGAAAGTCTATTTTTGGCTTTGGATACCTAATTGTTTTAACCACTTTGGTAACAGCACGGACTACAGTCAGCAGCCACAGATGAACCGCACAGCGACTTTAGCCGACAGCTGTGATATGACTTTTCTAATTTTTCATTTATCAAAATAAAATTGTGAACATTTAAAAATAACGTAATGAAAACATATATGTATATGTTACCTACTCTGATTTACATT